GAAACACTATCTACAGATTTGCATCGAAGCGTTTCTTATGATAGTGATTTTAATCACTGTCAGATATCATCTATACTTGTCCCATCTATGCCTCGTCCACACTGTGCCTCGACCCTACTGTGCTACCGTTTTTTTTAATTCACTTTATCTCATCAAAATGCATATTATTGGTTTTATTGTTATTTTTAAAAAATTTTTTTTTTTTCTATTAAATCCACTTATGGTCCGGGTGTTGTTCTTTTCTGATCAAGACCCTCGCCTAAGTGGTTGGCGACCCGATCTCCTTTTGCAAGGGAGCCATGAGGGTGGCGACTTCACAATCCGTTGCGTGGCCCAAGTCGTCACCTCTCAATTTATGTTATATGATTTTACTTGCTAGATTGAATTGTTTGCTAATTATTTAAATTGTTACCTATATTTTGGTTGTTATCCAGTTTATTTATTAATTATGTTGATGTTAATTGTTTGTGAAAAAACAGAGTCTGATATGTAACTTAAGTTCCTATAAGATAAAATGTTGAAATATTTAATTGTTCCTATTATGATTTTTTTAATATTGTTTTTTTTGTATGTTGCAGTCTTAAATATTATATAATGTTTGTATTCCCCCCCTGAAACTCTCATCTGGTGTGTGAAGACTTCTCAACAACCTCCACTGTCTCTACAAGTGAATCATGGTCCAAGCTCAAATACTGTTGTAACTCTAACTGGGACTTCCAAGGGGGAATATGTTTGAGCCCGATAAAAGAGTTATCAATTTAGTATATGTTCACCTCTAGTTGGTAATACTGGATATGGTGCAATACCCACTTGTACCGTTGTTATCAGCTGCTGTTGCTGTTGCTGTTATCAGTACAATTTAACGTTTCTGTGGTTTTTGAAATATGTGTGTGTTCTCTCTAACCTGCAAGCTCATGCATTGTTTTAACGGGGTTCCGGAGATTGCCACGAACTGATGATGCCCCGACATTCATTTACTCCGACACTGTAAAAAAATCCTCCGAATACATTTACTCCGACAACAATTACTACGAATACCTGGTTATAAAAATTTGGATGTTACTACGACGACGAATACTCCGAATAGGACTATTAATTGATTGCTCCGAATATCGATTATTCGCGAAATCGATTAAAAAATTATCAAATTTCGGAGTAGATGAATATCGTAGCAATATATTATCTGATGGAAAAATATAACCCTTATCACTAATTAATAAATATTAATTAATATAATAAAATAGCGTTATAATTGATTACTGTCTATTAACGAATAATTATTACAATAAAGATCCCCGAAATGTATCCGACTTTTGATAAAATAGGTACATAAAGGTAAGAAAGGGGGCTTTGGACTAAAACAACCCGTTACATAACTGGTGTGAGCCCTTACATTTTTTTTTTGAGGGGAAAGAAGAGCGATTCCAATTTTCAGACGTAAAATCTTTCTTGCCTCTCCTTATTAGTGCCTATTATTATATCATTTAATTAGTTGTAGTTTTCTCATTTATTATTTGGTAAAAATAAAAATATAGGGGTACGTGTCACTGATGATAGGATTCGTCATTAAACAGATGATTTATAAAGGTATTCGGTATCCCATCATCAAAAACTGTCATTCCAATTAGTCTCTTATGAAATCAAACAAAAATATGATTTAATATCATTTCACTGTTCAAAGATGAGCAACGAAATTAATTCAGTCCAGTTTGGCTTTAATCTTTTGATTGACCGCAATCTGGAGAGACTTGAGGGGGTTTCATCTCCTAAAATTCTGCCAAGAATATACTAAAAATGAATTAATTTGTATTTCTTGTTGTATTTTACAACATATTTATCTTGTTTTATTTAGAAATATTTTTTAGATTAGGTAAAAAAATATGTAATTAGAGTTCCCAAATATTTTGTTGCAATACTCCTACGCTCTAGTCAAATTAAGTAAACACAAGGCAGTTATAAGTTAACAGTGGACAATAGTTTATGATGAATCATAAACTTACTTAACTCTTCTGTTAACATAATTAGTTTTACACTTAACTCGAGTTCAAAATATGCAGTCAATTCGTTAAAAAATGGTTGAGTTTTTTTTCATTTGTATGATGATTACTTGAAGTTTTGTCAGATGTACGTATAGAGTTAAATATCTTAATTTATAATCATAATTAGTAATCAAACAATTTTTTCTCATTAAATAGAAATCAAATATAATAATGTAATATTGAAACAGTACAACTTTTTTTATAAGACTTATAGACATAATAAATTAAAACATTTATCCTTTTGTATAAATACATTTTATAACTAAAACTTTTTAACGAACTAATTCGTGATAATATCAATTTTAATTTTTTAATTTACTAATGCATTTGTGAGAATTTAAATAGGATGTAATAGTGAACTAATATACTAAAACTATTACTTTAATTATACGTATGAATCGTAAAATATTGTTGATACATGGAAAAGGTAGGTGTATGACTCTTTTTCAATTCGTGGGTAACAGGCATTGTTTATACAATAAATAAAATTTAAAATTATAGTGAACATGATTTTATTTTTAGAAATATGCTTACATATTAGAAAATAAATTCAAATTTTTAAAAAAACTTCATTTTGTATTTATAGAACAATGCATTTATATTTGCAGGAACACGTTAAGCTAACTAGATGAAAACATTGATAAAATAATTATCTTTTCGCAATGTCGGCCTGGTTCAGGAAGCCCTCATTAAATTTGAGATTTCTTTTCTCGCTGGACCACTGAGAAAATTGTCTGAAAGATCATTAAGGAAAATTGCCTCCGGGATCATCTCCAAGGTTCCAGACCAACAATATTTCCTAATCAAGATCGATTAGATCTGGTCAAAGCTGAAAGTCATTCAAACGAGGATCAACTTTAAACAAAAGCAACTCACGAAAAAACTATCAAAAAAAAAAAGTTTTAAATTTTGACTATTTTCTTATTATACCTTACTATATAGTTAGTAAGGTAAGATAGTACTCAAATAAAAAAAAAAGTTGACTATCGACAATAAGTATTATCGCAGTTGTCGGTGATGGGTAATAGAACCCCCTCACGACGAAAATTATTATATTTAAATACTATATTTTGGAGGGGGTATAAAAATGTTTTTATGTATTTTCTCGATCCCCGGATAAGACATTATGAAGTAGTGATAAATAGGTTTAGAATAGGGCACACTAGGCTCGTTAATGGGCACCTCATACGACGAGACGATCCTGAACAATGTATCACCTATGGGGAAGACCTTACTGCGAAACTACTATGATTTGTTGTAGAAAATATACAAACATTAGAAACAACGTCATTTTCCTGAAAATCTGTACGAATTACTAGAACCGAACCATGATGTCATCAAAAAAGTTATTTCTTTTTAAAATCAAACTAAATAGATAAAAAAAATCTAACTTTTTGAATTTTAAAATTATATAAATATATAAATACCTACATTTGTAAATATCTAATTGTTATAAAACTTGTTAATTACTATGAGCCAATAACTATAGTCTCTCAGGTCTTAATTAAAAAAATAGTGTTTTTATGTATATTTTCCAAAGACAAAATTCTGAGAACACCCTTGTTACTCTTGTATACGGGCATAGGTTTTTTTATAAGAATTAGTCCCCCCAAATTCAGAAAAATCATATTTATTGTTATAAGGATATATATAAACAAAATAAAGATTTTTTTTGATAATGTTTTAATAGTATTTCCTAACTTTTACATGGATTTAAAATTTTGTGTTTAATATCCAAAAACTGATGAATGACAAATATAGGTTTTTGAGATTATTTTATAATTTTTCAAAAAAGGATTTTTTCGGCCGTGTCCGCCAAAGTATAACAATTCAATTAATGATAAGATTATTTTTGCATTCAAACAATTTTTTTGAAACTTATATATCGAGGGAGAATTTCTAAAATAAAGTTAAAATAAATTATTTTCCATCACCATATGTTCGTCGGGTCAAGTAAAAACACAGTGGAGACGAATAGCATGACGATAATGCGCTCTTTGCCATTATTATTATTTGTTTATATTTAAGCGAATAATTTTTCACTTTTATTTTAAACATAAGAAAAAAAATATGAACACGGTAAAAGACAATTGTTTTGTGCGTTGGAGAAGCGATAAAGATTCCCACATTAAAATCGCCTACCTTCCCCGATTTACAGATCTATTTAAAAGTACGAGCCTTCTTTTGAATCGATACACGAGTGCAAATCGTGATCATGAAGGCTTACATTACTAATAAATATTGATAGCAGAATATCCCAATGAAATTCCACCTGTACAACTATTTTGAATGTGATGATGACACGGGGTTTACTCATTTGTCTTGGTGAAAATTTGTCTAAAGTAACATGACCAATTGGACTTTGATCTGATCATCTGGGAATTTCTAACCTGCCAAAAGAGTGGCAATATGAAAACGACTTGGTCTATATAAGCAATGTACGACACACACTCTTTACCCAAATCGAATTAGTGAAGCAGAGTCGACAGCTATTTTCTTATCTTTTAAAATTTTTTTTTCAATTGAATAATTATTTAAATTATTATTATTTTGAAACAATATCCACAAAATGTCATCAGGTACAACTCTTTAAATTACTACAAAACAAAAATTTATTCATCATAGTGTTTAAGCTTTACTTTAAAAGTACTTTATACATAACATAACAGTTGTGATTTAAAAATCTAATTTAATGGTCAAGTTCAAAATATTTTCTATAAGCTTTAATAATGTCGTTCTCAACAGCAAGTTCTCCCTATTTTAATAAAAGATTTTCACTGTGTCAGAGTATACGTTTATTCTGAATTATATTCATATATTTATTAAATATTATAATTTTAATTTAGTTATAAATACTATGTTTAAATGACAATGAGTTTATTTTTTGTGTTGAAACTTTTTTTTTAATGACCTGTTACAATTTAGACTATATATAATTTTAAAATTAATCAATAAAATATTATTATCAACTAATAATAATGATGATACACATAAAATTAAATGGACTAGACATTTTTGTTACTTTATTACAAAGAAAAATCTATTAAATGTTAGTTTACAAGTGATAAGTACATATTTTTAAGGGGAATAACAATTATTTAATATTACAAAATGTTTTACTGAAAATATCAAGGAATACTAGTAAAATAAGTTAATGGTGTGCTTTGTTAAAAATATTTGAAGTTCAATTTTGTAACAATTCTTTTCAATTATTATTAAAAAAAAGAAAAGCTATTCAGATTTTTTTTTTCAAGGAAATATCAAAGATTTCAAAAAGTGTACATTAGATTTTAAAAAAAAAGAGAACTTTAAAATTTATTTAATAAATCATTTTTCACAAATTGTTTAACAATGAGTCAATAAATTTTTATTTTTAGATAGCACATTGAATTTTTAAATTAAAAAAAAAATTATTTTACTTATATATAAGCAATTACTCATTCATAACATAACTTACATTAAAACTTGTAGTGTAAAATATACAGTTTAACATTATTTATTTTAATTTTTTTTTATGCAAGTTCAAGACAATCTTAGTAATTAATTATCAATTAAAATTGACGAAATAATAATTTATCATCATAAATTGAAATAAAAAGAATTTTACAAATTCAAACAGATAAAAAAAATTTAATTAATAATTTTTTATCATGAATATAATAATTATATTCATGATAATATATATATATATATATATCCAATTTAAGTCTCAAATCAATTATTGATTTGAGTCTTAAATTGGAAAATGAACTGATATTTAAAATAATATATATATATACAATTTATTTAGGAAATCAAAATCAAACTACTGAATATAGATCTCGGTCTCCAATACGGTATGTTTTTGATGTGTTAAGCACTGGAACTGTTTCAAGCACAGTACCCGGAGTACGGGGTAGACCAGTGTACTTGGCTGATAATGGTTTTACTTACGTACAAAATAAAAGTTCTACCAATAGTAGGTATGACCTAAAATAAAAATAATCATGCTTTTTAATTTTCAGGGGCAAACACTAAGTTAAATTATTTACTTTGATATCTTTTATTTCAGGCAATTAAGATGTACTCGCTATGAGTCTGGCTGTCGGGGCACTGCATCCATGGCGTTAGTGCCAGAAAATGCACCAATTAGATCCCTCCACGAACATAACCATTTACCAAATAACGATGTGGAGATTGGTTCATATAACACTGAACTTAGAAACCTTGCATCAACTGAATCTACACAAACCAGGATTATATTAGAAGATATTTCCAGCAAGTAATAAGACTAAAAAAAATGTATTCAATAATTACTGCATTGAAATTAGAAATACTTTTTTTTTAGCTTCGATGCGAAGCTGAGAAGGTATTAATTTTACCATGATGTGTTTATTTTAGCTTCGATGCGAAGCTGAGAAGGTATTAATTTTACCATGATGTGTTTATTTTAGCTTCGATGCGAAGCTGAGAAGGTATTAATTTTACCATGATGTGTTTATTTTTTTTTTTTTTT